AATATTTAGAAAGATACTTGTCACCAAACAATTTTAATTTAAAAAATATTAATATTAATATATATATAAAGTTCAAAATCCTAGCTATGAATTTATGTTGAATGCTCATAAAGTTCAAAAAACAATTAAAACATCAATGTTGCAGGAGGAGATGGCATATATCCGTACAAGCAACCTTCAAATATAAATTAAAAAACAAATAAAAACCAAAAGTAATCAATTAAAAACTAATAAAAGGAGAACCCAACAAAAACAATTAACCATCTAGAGGTACTTCACTTAAAATTCAAAAAGCATTACCTCATCTTCTTCATAATTCATAAAGACAAACAGTAGAACACAATCAACCCAAAGATGGTTGGAGTCTAGGGAGACAAACTTTAACAACGGAGGAGATGTGGTGTATTGGTGTGCTAAAATACCCCTGTTCATAAAATGTCATAAATACCCCTGCTCAGAAAATGTCATAAATAAAATATACATATAATATTTTTGTACCTAAAATACCCCTGCTCAAAAAATGTCATAAATAAAAAAAACAAATCAACAATACATCAAATTTCCAGCAACTGATACTTCAAACAAAAATAGAACTTCTAACACTTCAAACCAAATTTCCAGCAACTAATACTTCAAACAACTTTAAACAGGGAAGCAGAATTGGAACAAAAGTGGTAACAATGGAATTATGATATAAGCAATTAAAGGAATTGTAGAATAGGAGTACATAAATATGGAATATATAATCAATTGAATGTATTAGAAGCATTAATCATAACATCAGAAGTCAGAAACTAAATCGAAGAGGTGAAGCACAGTTTTTTTTTTTCCGATCGATGTGCCAATCTCCAAATCGGTGATCCAAACACCAAATTAGCGATCCCAAATGCAAATTTGGCACTACCAATCAACAATTAGACCAATTTCGATCAGTAAAAACATGTTCCAGCTATCAATTTTGCCATTTTATAAAATGTTACCTGATGAGAAACCTTCGATTGGTGCTTGCTGGTGAGGTCACTTGCTGGTGTTGCGAGAGAAGAAAGGAGTTGAAAGGAGGCGCTTCGTTAGGGGGAAGGGTATGCGTGAAATTTTTTCTTCATTTTCCCAGTCAGCCGAATTTGATTTCCTTTTCGGGTCAGATGCATCTTTCCGAGTCAGATCGATGAAAATTGTTTATCAAACACATTTTGTTGACCGAGTCAGCAAAAAAGGTCTGAGCCAACTCGGTCAGCCCAATATCAAACAGGGCCTAACTCCCACCACTCCGGGTTGATGACATGGCACACACTACAGTTTCAGTTTATCCTGGGAGTTTTTATTTCAATGTCTTGATATGTTTCGACATCAACTAATTTGATACATTCGTTTTTACAATTGAGACATGTGTTTGTGGTTTTTATTATAAGATGGTTAACTTCATGGTTTTAATAATGGTTAAAATTATAAAAAATAATAATAATAACAATAATAATAAAATTGGGTTGTATTTTTGGGATGTTACAGTACAATGCTATAATTGAAACAAATGAAAGTACGATGTTATAACAGAAAGTGAAAAATCAATCTATTGTTTTTATGTCATGGGTTGATTATTGATAATGATTTGTCTATTATGAATTTTATTTCTTTACTTCAACCAGGTGCAAGGAAAAGCCTATTTGATTATCTTTATGGACAATGTATGTATTTTTTAGTAACAAATACATTTTGTTACTAATCTTAATATTTTCAGTAAATATGTTAGAAACTACATTCATTCGGCAGTTTGTTACCTTCGCACGAGGATGGACGTCCTAGATTTGCACAGTTATACATGTATGATACTGAAAATGAAATCGACAATCGGTTTTATGCCTTACGCAGTTGTGTTTCTCCAAGTTCAGATGTAAACATGCTTCGAGGGTTGGTTGAAGAAATCATTTCTATGCTAGATGATAATAACTCATTGGTTCAAGCATTTCGGATGGCTAAAGATAGGTTCCACGAGTCATCAACGCAACCGGTTAAATTTCAATTAATTTGGTAACCGAAACAAAGATGGAAGACAATATAATCTGCCAATTGTATCTGAAGTAGTTGCATTGATTCCAAGTGATGGTAGGCCTATACAGTCTCGTGATGTACTTATTGAAGATCGTGGTAACTGTACCGTGCAAAGGATAGGTGAACTGCATCCATCTTTTATGGCGTTGCAGTATCCGTTACTTTTCTCATATGGAGAATATGGGTTCCATTAAAATATCCCTCTAACAACTAATTCTACATCATACAAAAAATGTTAGTTTGAGGGAATATTATTGTTTTCATTTACATTTTTGGACCAATGAAGGTAAAACTCTACACAAAGTTGGTCATTTTTTTCATACATTCATTTTTTATGCTTATATTGCAGTGCTTGAACATGATTTAGACTAGCATAAGAGAAACCAAGCTACTATTCGTTCGAAGTTGTATCATGGTTTTCATGATAATTTATTTAGAGGCGAAACAAGTGTTTCATATGTGGGTTGTCGTGTTATGCTACCATCATCATTTAATAGTGAACTGAGGCATATAATACAACGATATCAGGATCCAGTAGTCATATGTCGTTGAGCTGGAACTTTAGATTTATTCGTTACGATGACGTGCAACCCAAAATAGCCTAAAATTGAACGTCATGTTCAACAAACTGTATTTGGTCAACCAAGTACCAATAGATGTGACATTGTTCCAGGTATATTCAAGATTAAGCTTGATGAGCTCATAAATAACATAAGGAAAAAACATAATTTTGGTTGCACAAAAAGTGGTATGTTATCTTTAATATTTTGCATTTGGTCATTAAATTTGCATGTTTGTTATTTGCTCTATAATCTTAATTCTATTTGTATGCAATTATTTATATGATTGAGTTCCAAAAACGTGGGTTAAAAATAAAATAAATCAATATATTGTTTATATATTTGTCAAGTATCGGACGGGTATGACACTAGTTCAATATAGTTGGCTGTTATTACGTAAATTATATATGTATTTGATTTTTAATAACTATATAAATAATATTTAAATATATGATCAAATATTCAAATGTCGTTAAATTATAATTTTTTAAAAGAAATAGACATTACGTATAACTCACCTAATAACGGTTTGAGAAATAAGTGTTGGGACCATCCTCTCAAATTTCAAGGAGTTGCTTTGATGATATTACAATTTAGAAACATAATAAACAAAAGTCGTTGTAGTATAGTGGTAAGTATTCCCGCCTGTCACGCGGGTGACCCGGGTTCGATCCCCGGCAGCGGCGAAAATTTTAATATTGCCGTTTTTTGGGTTTGGCCTTTGAGTATTAAAGCCCAAAGCATAGGCAAAATTCTAATAGGATTTACTATTTAGCAACAAATTTAATTCATCCAATATATTTAAAACAAATTATATATTTTCTTTTTGAAAGAGTGTGATCATCGAGAAATTGATACAAGAAAGATTGGATTCAGCATCCTATAAAATTAATTATCGAAATACACCCATAATCTAAAGAAATTATTGTTAGACCGGCCTTTAGAATTAAGCAACCATAGTGTGAAAAATTAGGTCAAAGACCTTTAGTTCATCTCTTTATTTTTGCTCTTATCATATATATTTGATCAGCATTGTTCATAATTAGCGTAGTTATTAAATAATCTTTCATGAACATTATTTTGTTAATAGTTACCCCATTAATGTTCTTAATTGAACTATATAAATAATGAAAAAACGATTAGATAGATGAGTTTAGAGGAGAGACTTCTAGCTACCAAACTAACTTAAAATACATTAAACTATGAAAATATCCTTAACTACTAATTAGACTTGTAACCTGAATAACGGAATGAGTTCATGATGTGAACATAAACAACAAGATTGTCCAATGACAATAAATCATCTTATACCCTGCAAAACAACGGATCAAACTATTGAATAAAGTCATTTTATAAATATAATCCAATCAAATATGTTGTAAAAGATACAACCTATAAATGAAATAATTGCATGTCTGCTGCCAATTTTGAGGGCTAGAGTTGTTTTAACTTTTAAACAGCTCAATTCATTTTAAGTCCCTTACAAGTTACAAGCTATAATATTTTTCTGTTTTCTCAAACAAAATGACATGGTACTTATAATGTCTATAATAATTATCGACGTCGTTTGATGAACAAAGATCAACTCATGTAATCTATGCACATATGCATCATGTCGTCTTTTCACAAAGATGTATGGCACTTGTACAATGAAGTACTCGGTTAAATAAATCCTTTATCAAAAAGCTATTGGATATATGACATCATCTCATCCACTAGATTTGTGCTAACCAAAATTGTGATATGGCCATCTATGCTGCTTCGGGAACTCTATTTATACAAAACTCAAACATTTTGATCATGTAATAAAATAGATAAATACTTAGGAGAAACATTGGTATTAACAGAAAACGATATAAGATGAACATCTTTTCAACAAACAGATTTATGGTTTTAACAATCACATAACTGTTATGGTGTCCTTTCAATCTCACCATACACAAACATTTTATCTTCTTATGGAGTAATGATTCAAATAATACCCTTAACAAAATCCAAAACTATGGTTAGTGTACATCACCTCAGCTAAAAGCGAATTAAGCTAAAAATGAATTTCATAGCAAAAGCTGAATCTATCTTATATCTAAAATTATACTACAAAACAATCAAAAATGTCGTTGTAGTATAGTGGTAAGTATTCCCGCCTGTCACGCGGGTGACCCGGGTTCGATCCCCGGCAACGGCGTTTCTTACATTTTTTGACATTTAGAAAGTCCATCGACCATATACATACCAAATATCAGTTTTTTTTACAACTACATTTACTCATATTACACCCATAGTCCCAAAAGTTGATTCTCTTACAATTAAACAGCTTAGCTGGTAAAACTACGTTTCATCTATTGATTTTTTATTATCTTCATCTACATTTACTTATTGATCGTGTCTTATTATTCGCATCGTCATTCATCAATAGATAATACTTTAACAAGAACACTATCTTTTCACAATTAGCATCCAGATTAATTAAAAACCCACATTAGCATAAATTAACTATAACAGGCTATAATACTCAGAGCCCATAAATTACTACAAAAATTGAGCCTAAGCTCTACAGACTCCTACTCATATGTAGTTCTTGACAACTTTATCACAAAACAAACAAATCACTTCATCTTGTGAAGACTTTATATGTAAAACATGATTTAGGCAGTTGCATCAGTGAGACTTTTCTGCTTACGAGACCTCTTCCTTTTCTTGCTCCTGCTCCTTATTGTTTCAGCACTCTCATTCTCATTACCTTCCTGCAATGAAATGCAAGCATCAACACATCCACCAAAGAAGATAGAAACATAAACACTCATTTTAAAAGTTACTTACCTTGTTAGCAACAGGTTTTTGGTTCTCGGTTTTCTTCTTCTTACAAGATAACGGATTTGGACCCTGAAAACAAAAATGAGTTTATAATCACCTATACATATCTAAGATCAAAGAACACCATCAAAGAAATATGCTGAAAGCATCATAAAAAGAAAACCTTGGCTTTCTTTCTCTTGAATTGTACTTTATCCTTCACATCCGTATTATTCCTTTTAGCAGCATTTTTCTTCAGATCTTCTATAATCTTTTTTGACAAATCTTCATCCCCATCAGAGGCTTCTCCTAATTCCTCATTCACTGAACTTTTCTTTTTCCTTTTAACAAGCATCTTAAACTCCAACTCATTCATATGTGAGCGTTGTTCTTCAGCAGATTTGGCAAACTGTTGTTGAGACTGAGATGGAGGTTCAAGAAACAAAGCATTTCTAAGTGCAAATACTACAGGGACAGCTGGTTTCTGTATTCATTAAACAAACATAGCAAAGCATAAGATATACTTTTAAAGTTTCCATAAATCATTTTAAGAAAGTATTAAATAAACCTCTTGAAACTTCTTGCGCAAGTCAGCATCTTGACTAGCAACAAAGAAATGCTCTGAATTGTCTTCCCCAATAACTTCTGTTAAACAGGCCACAGCACTCTTCCTCTGCTCATGATCACACCTGAAAATAACCTTTTTTTTTTATAAATTTGTGAAGATATAATTGCAAATGCTGAAAAGGGGATACTGGATAGTGGATACTAACCTTGCAGGTGCAAGATCACGGGCCACATTAAGAGAATCAGAGTAGGATTCACCGAGACTTTTCAACTCTGCAAGAACACATCTGATGAAGAAGGGGGAGAAAGAAGATGTAAGTGTAAGAATTTTTGGAGATATTACAAGTTGTAGAAGAGAAAAGGGTAGAAAGGTAAATGATTATGGAACCTGGTTGTGAACATTTTGACTGGAGCACCTAGGATGTTAGAGAGGGCTGTGTCAGCTGGAGTGATGCGATTAACAAGAAGATGGTGTATGAATGTTCCATCACACAAGACTTTGAAGGGTGCTCTGAAACCAAAGCATGTTGTGTAGAATCTAACACTTCTGCGATGACGCTTCTGCTTTTTCAATCTCATCTGTATGATATAGGATAATGAGATCAATCAATCAATCATCGAAACTTGACAAATGAATCCATTATATTCATATCAAATGCTATTTGAAAACCAAAAAGAAGCGACAGAAAGAGATGCTTGTTTATTCCTTTACAATTCCCAATCAACAAAATAGTAAATATAATCTCTAATAACAAGGCTAATAGTAGAATGACTAGAATCCAACATTTCAAACCACAATTTCCAGAAGCAACCTATCAAAAACAATCCTAGGTTTCAAACCACAAAACTAGAGGGTTCTAGCATCATCTTTGAGAGTCAAAATCAATAGTCTATGAGACTTTCATCAATATAAATTAACAAATCGTAATTTAATAAACATTAAACATTTACATATTTGGTGCTGGAAGCAGAAAGTGTAGAATTTTCAAAAACTAATTTTAGAATCAATGAAGGTGCAACCGATACAAGCACATAAACCCAAGGTTATAGCACTATTTCAAATTCAGAACCGTAATAAAGCTTTAGGGGAACGTGGCACAAATCGAACTCAAAATAAAAAACAGAAATCGAACGTTAATGAAGCTTTAGCTGAAGACGGCGTCGGAGAAATCGATTAGCTGAAGAAGACTCGGGAGAAATCGAGCTGATAGGCGTCTGGTGTGGCCGGAGGGAATCGTCGGCGGTAATGTTCTGTTGGGTTGTAGGCGCACGTTGAAGAGCTAGGGCTTCCAATTTCTTCAGGTTAAATTACAAATTTTCGATATTTGGTAAACAACTAAATATATTTAAAAATATACTATTTAATTTTTCTAAAAGATATATTTTTACATTAACATTATTTTTTTATGTATTAAAATCGAAATTTTGTAAGTTTTTTTTTTTGGACCTTATGATCGGTTTCCAGTAAATAAAAATTTCACAAAAAAGTTCTTAAGTTTATAAAAAGTTTATGTTTTTATCCTAAATTCTTATTTTTCTCATATGATACGCATGTTTAATTAAACATTTTTCATGTATAAATACATATAATATGCTGAAAAAAGTATTTAAGGTAAAAAAAAATTAAAAATGTAAACTTAAAGGTTTCTTGTGAATTTTTATAGTGATTGAAAATCTATATAGCATGTAATAGAGACAATAATTAAATTAAATTAAAAAAAAAACTTGCATACTTCCGGTTTTAACACACCAAAAAATAATGTCACGGTAAAATCGTTTTTTATTTTGAAAAGATAAGAGTTTGTATGTCATATCTTTATCTTTAAACTTATATTTTTTATATGTCCAAAACAGTCATTATAACACTCTTAAAAAAAGATTTTTTTAAAACAGCACCAATAAAACAAAAGGTTTGCCAAGGGCAAACAACTAAATAACAACTAGTTCATCAACACGTTGACCAACCACATTGAATAATTTTTCTTACTTTTGCTATTTCTATAACAAAATGATATTTTTTTAGAACAAAAAGAAAAGGGTATTAATTATGCTAAGAATTATCTGCAAATTTGTTAACATTTTTTTTTTGCTAAGTAACCTTTTTCTCAGTACATATTTCGGAGTGAAATAATTTTTTTTTCTTATTATAGATTTAATCCGACTAATGGGGATTAAAAATCTATGAGTTAAAAAGACGTCAATAAAATTTCAACTGCACCACGTTTACCCCTGGGTCCTGACCATCTAATGCTAGCTAAAAATGTCAAAATTCATTTATATTGCTTTTTTGCTTGATCACTAATGTTGTTACATAATTATGGGTGTAAAGATTTTCATGTGACTTATATCGTTGCTCGAAAATATCATTGTCTTTTAACATTAAAGTGCACAAATTTAACTTAAATAAGTAACATTGTTGAAAATTAATGATGTAATGAAATATATGAAATGCATGCTAAATGAACACAATATGCCCTGAAAATTATTAAGAAAATATGATAAAATGATGTGTAAAAGTGAACGTAACAACTTTGTAGGGTAATAAACATCATTTTTTATACATATTTAGTCATTTTTTATATGCAATTTACCATTAAACTAATATTTGTTATTCAATAAATATCATTTTGACAGATTATAGTAGGTCTTGTTAATTTACCTACTCAAAAAACATCATTAAACTCATTTTTTCTGATCAAGAAATATCATTAAACTTACAATTACATACACCATTTTCCATTAAACTAAGTTTTGTACTTATTTAGTCATTTTTATTTTTTCCGACTATCATCAATTTTTTGATCATTTTCTTCAACCAACAACATTTACTTGGTGATGGTAGCGGTAACTAGTGGAGATTGGTGGCAAATGGTGTTGATGGAAGGTAATGTTTGTTGTTGGAATTGGATGGTGGCGGCAGAAGGTGGATGGTGGTGTGAGTGGATGATGTTGGTCGGAGAAGTTTAAAGGGCCATAATTTAATGATAAATCGTATAAAAATAAAATTTTAATAGTAAATCATGGCTACAAAAATAAATAAATAAATAAAATAAAAAATAATCAGCAACACCTTGACCCTATCAAAATGGTACATTTTAAAAAGCTCGTGTAATTTTAATGTTAAATCGTGTATAAAAAAATAACTACATGTATACAAAAGTGAGAGTTGATTATCTTACAAAGTAATTTTCTATTGTAGTTATAAAAAAATATAAGGTTTTATTGTTGTTGAGATGGCATTAAAATGACAAATAAAGGATAGAAAAAATAAATTAATTAAAAAACAGTTTCTAAATTGCATATACTTTAGTAAGATTTGCCAATGTATACTCAAAACATATAGATCATAATAGAAGTTCAATAAAGAATCTAGATATGTGATGTTTGAAGATACACAAGTTTAATATGACAAATCTATATTTCGATAACCGCGTGTATAAACAATGTGTCATCATTAAATCCGTTTTCAATGTAATGCTCATAATCCTCAAAGACAAATAAACGGAAAATGGGTATTGTTTATGATCGGTTGCTTACCATGAATAGAGAAGATAGCTGAAGCTAACCACAATACAGCACAAATGCGTATAATATTTCTTAATGATTACTCACTCAAAACTCAAAAGTCACAACTTTATAAAACCAAAAACAGATCAAATACAACTCCTATTTATTTACTCTACAGATCCTCTAAGAACATCGCCTTTGCCATTTGGAGGTGATATAACACCAAGAATAACAAAACCACCCAAGAAAACAATCAAAACCCCCAAAATATTCACCAACATTGCTTCTGCAGAATAGTGTGAAATTATGTTGTTGGTTTGAAGAAAGGTAGCTTTTTCTAACAACCCAGTAGCACAAGCAGCAACAGCAAGCACATAAATATACACTCCAAAGAACACGTGCCATGGCATCAAAGATGCCCTGCTGTTTCTTGAACCACCCGGATACCAGAATGTCACAAATCCAGCTCCCCACTAAACATTCAATAACGGAATCAGTAAAACCAAAAAAAGATGATAGAAAGAAAGAAAATTTTGAGAACCTGAATGGTGAATAGGAATAAGCAAGCCAACCCCAACCATGAATGCAGACTGTAGAAGTTGTCAATGCCTTTGTCATTGTGGAACTTCCAAGCAGCCCATAAACCAATTATGCCAAACAGAAATGCCATGAACTGGAGGGAGAGATGCACTAGCTTTTTGTAACTTTTTGTTCCTGTTACTGTTTTGTATGCTAGCATGGCTGCATCACATCCATCAAGAACCATGAATTAAAGGGTGAAGAAGAAATGATGATTGTGAGTATATGTGTGATCATTTCATTTGTCATCATAGCAAGTCATATTTAAATACAGTTAGTTACCTTCCCCATTCAGCAGAACAAGGCCAATCACCATCAGAACAGGATGAACCTGCAGTACAGTAATCACAGATTCTTCAGATCGTATTCAAAATTTTCTCTATCAGTGAAATGGAAGTGGCATTAGCAAATGACTGAAGCCTGAAGTTATAATTCCAGACAGAAGCTCTACAATAGTCTGGTAATTACCAATCGGTGCAGAATAAACAGTTAAACATAACTACATTAGATCATCAATTACAGATCTTGAATCTGAAATTCGAATCATGCGTTTTAAGCAAGAGCTTATTCATTATGTTTATGGCATTGCTAAATAAAACCCTAAATCCTCTGCAAGCATAAAAAGCTAAGAATCAATAAGGTTTTTCTTTCTACTTAAACAATATGACATTTGGATTTAGAGAATTACATTGAAGATGAGACTTTTGTCGTCTGATATGAGAGCCAATCCTCCTCTATAGCGGATATTCCATATCAGAACCAAAGCAGCCACAATTACACCTAGAACCCGCACGCATAAGAATAGTGGGAATTTCACCTGCGGAACCGCCATCTTCCTGCTCCAATCGGCAATCACACACACAGAAGCAAGCACGGAGTAGCAAGGGTTTACAATTTGATAGGGTTTCCGGCGAGGTTAAAAGTGTTGACACGGATTTAGGCAAGACAATCTTTGACGCCAGTACAGATTACTTTAGTAAACTTGACATCGATGACAATGGAAGCTAGGTTGGTTGGTATCAGATTTGGAAAGAACTTGAGACCTAAACCTTACAAGTTTGACTTTCATTTTAAAATTGAAAGGTACCCAATTCTGAAACGTTTACGAGTTATTTTCCGCAATATGTTTTGTTCGAGTCACATTTTTGTGTCATATTATTTGATCGTGTTCTCGTTAACATGTCAAAAATAAAAATTCATTATTTTTGAACTGACAGGACACGGTGTCGAATACATAGAAAATGTGTGATCAAATTTTATGCATCAAGTTGTTTTAATTTTTTAAAATGATTAATCAAAACCAAAACACGATGTCTAATTTCTAAAAAAAGAAATTAAAAAGAATTTAAACGACTTTAACTATTGCAAACAAATTTTGAAATAAAAACAAACAAGATTAATAATGTGTATTAGAATCAGTTGCGCTTTAATAATTATGCAACTAAAATTATTTATTTATTTTTCCTTAGAATGAACTCATACATACATAATTCCACTTTAATGATAAAACACAAACTTAAATTGTAAGTACATCATATGTCATTCTAATTGTAGGCACAATTTGCTCTTATGTAGAAGGGAGAAATATTCTTGACTACGAACCTTTGATATAAATGAGTTATTACTTAGATTAAAAAGCAAAGAAAAAAATGAGTAATTTACAAAATATATTTTGATAAGGCATTTGGCTCTTTAAATTAGAGTTATTTGGACTCGATTTTTGAACAAATGGAGTTTGGTTGGAATGAATATATTAGATAAAAGGGTAATCTTTCTTCCTACAGAGTTTCGGTTGAGTCACTTACTAAGAAGTTTGACATTTTAAGAAGGTCGAGACAATGTGACCCTTTTTCATGTTTTCTTTTCATCGACGTTATGGAGAGTCTTAAAGCTATGTTGGAAGATAGAAAAGTTTCATTATCACGACATTACTCTTTCGAAAAACGATTTGACTTTTTCATACCATATCTATGCGGATGATATGTGAACGTCTTAAAATTTTACCATAAAATTTTTCATTTTTATTTCATTTAAATCAAAGTATAATTACATTATGCAGAAAAACATGATATCAATGTGAGTGTGTACGGTCGAATCTTGCCCTTCTCACGAATCGAAGAAATACCTTAAAAGTATTTATAATCAATTGGGTAAGCACAAAGCTTAGTGAGTTCCCTAAAATATCATCTATCACAATACATATGCATGCATGCATCAAGTATTAGGCTCACAATCACTTAAGTTGTTATTGTCATTATTTAGGCTCACAATCACTTAAGTTGCTATTGTCATCACCTCGCATTTTGAGTATCTAAGCTCACAATTGCTTAAGTTGCTATTGTCATTATCTAGGCTCACAATCGCTTAAGTTTCTATTTCTATTAGCTCATCCCTTGGCCTTTGGCATAAAGTTGGTTCGTGTTAGGTGTGTCCAACCCAACAAATAGTATGTGTACAAAAGACTCCAAATACACTGTTTTAATGCACTAAAAAAGTAGTACAATGCAAGCAGGGTCAAACCATAGAGACACGGGATAAAAGTCTATACCTCTTTGTGCAAGGTACTTTGATAAAATAAAAAATAAAAAAAAATAAAAAAAAAAAAGAGGGTTTTGTTTGCCAAAGTAAAACAATAAAATAGCAATCTACTTTAAAAACATGCAGAAAATGAAATAAACTTGTAAACAATTTGATTGAATGGTTCTAGTTCGATTTCTCAATGTCGTTGTTCAACTTGATTATGTGAAACATCCCAAAAATACAGTCCAAAATTTTCGTTTTTCAATCATTTTTATAACCATAAAAATCATCATCATAATAGAAAATCATAAAACATGTATCTCAAAACACAATATCACCTGTCAAAGACTCCAAATCTCAAAACAAATATCAGAGTAAACTCCCAACCCAAAAAGACTGTGGTGTGTATCATGCTATCATCATGAGCCCTTCCTTTTGCTAGTTGAAGTACCTGAAACCAAAACTGAAAACTGTAAGCACAAAGCTTAGTGAGCTTCCCCAAATTACCACATAACATACACATATATATCATATAACAACACAACTATGGGACATCGTCCAACTACATTAGGATGAACCCGACATCGGCTTACCCGGCATCGGACTCACCCCGGCATCAGATTACGCTTGGCATCGGGCTTATCCCAGCACACATATAATGAAAATATAATCTACATCAGGCTAACCCCGACATCGGACCGGAACACATATAATCTACATCAGGCTAACCCCGACATCAGACCGGAGTCCAACATACAATAACTACATAAACGGGCCGACATTGGTGTAACATATACGTTCAATTATCGTGTTTTGTTAGTTTAAATAAATAATATTATGAAATATTATATGAATTTGAGTGTTGAGTTCTAACAGATAGTTTTTACTAAAAATAAAGTAAAACTATGTTTAGAACCACTCGGAAAATATTGGAAGTCTTATGAGATTCCAATCAAAATTCAAATATTGAAATTTAATGAAAATATAAAATTTGAAGTAAGTAAATTTTATTATTTAAAATTGTAAAGAATCTCGTTAGAAACATTTAGGCGAAAACTTCATCGAAATCCGAGTTATAACAAATAAGTTATGACTAATCGAAGTTTCGCGGCAAAACCGACACGACACCGGGAAGCGTAAATAATGAATTTACGATAGAGAACTTTTTTCCCTTAGTAATCTAAACGAAAGGAATAGAATACGTTAAACCGAGAACGTCCATAAAAAGAACGCCCAAATCTGACTTCGTATGCGGAAGTTATGATTTTTCGAAGTTTTGACTTAGCATTATGCAGCCCAAAAACTCGAAATAAAGATCGAGCGATATTTAACCGACACAACCTAAATGAGAATCGAATATCTCATCAATAGTAGTACAATGGTAAAAAGACAGATGCAAACGATCGTCGGATGAAGAAGTTATGAAATTTTAACGGACTTTTCCTGTCTCGACCCGTTAAAAATATAATATAATATAATATTAAAAATAAATTCAAAATTAGCCAACGGAATCTAAATGAACGTTTTAGAGCATAATCTCACCTTCGTGTGGATATAAAGAACATCAAAAACGGAGCTCGTATGCGAAAAATATGGATTTTTGAAGTTCGGAGCACAAACTTCGAGAATTTGACTGCATTCACGACGTGAACTCAGTGAACGACGCTTTTCTAGCGTATAAGACACATGGAAAGCCTAGGGTATCACCAAGATCAAAGTCACGACATTAACATACATGGTTCACGACATGAGAGTCGAATTTTCAACCTATAAATAGAAATCGAGCCCTCCGGGTTTATGTTACAAATTATCACTCTCATTCACTCTCTAGCCTCTCTCAAGCCCCTCTAACACCCCCTAAAGTCCCGGTATCATCCCCGACACCCGAAGCAAGTCTCGACGCTCCGAAGTTTCCGATGAAATCATATTTTCTAGTCGATCGAAACTCTGCCCGCGTAAAGTCCGGATTTTAACTAAAATCCTCGGTTTCATCAAAGAAAATTATATATAGAAACAAAGTGTTGCCCGAATTGTCATATCATTATTCAGTTAATTCAAGATGAGTTCAATATATAGGAACAATTGTATGTTATGTGCTATGTGTTTTCCTGTGTTATCTTGATTTTTATATCATTGATCATGTAGAGCATGTCACGTATCACTTCTTGTAACGCCCCATTTTTGATATGTAATTCAAATAAAATATTTTCATTTCTTAAGGGGTACTCGACGAGTCTGTAGCCCGAATCGTTGAGTAGAGATAGGATGATCACACGATTTAAGTTGGTTACTCGGCGAGTCCATATGCTTGAACTCAGCGAGTCTACCTGTCTGGATGAAGCCCTAATTTCAAGGGTTTGCACCCTATTTAAACACATTTATGCGCCCCAAACCAGTCTCCATCACCCTTAGAGCGTCCTTTACTAAACCCTAGCTTCCCTTTAAGCTTTTTGAAGTATTTCTCATCTTGTAAAGGATTTTGGTGCATTTTGAAATTAGAAGAAGAAGAGAGAAGAGAGGTTTTCAAGAGAAGCAAAGGAGATCTGAGTTTCTTGTGTCATTCCAGCCTCTATTAAGGTATAAAGCTCGAATTTTGGCTTGTCATCATATAGATCTTCTTAAAAGCTTGCTAGTGTTGCTTCTTTTGACATTTTCTAGACATTGAGGTTGTTTTATGGGAAGTTAAGATGAATGGGTTTCATATCTAAGCATTTCTGGACTCCTTGAGCTCAAGGTTGCCACCTTTATTGAGCTAAACACCCATTCCAAACCTAGATCTCCTGTTTTAGCTTCTTTTTGGGCATTTTAGCTTCTTATGTGCTTGCATGAACGTAAAGTTAGAAACTTTACGTGTGAAATCAGTTCTAGGAACCCATATCTATGTTTTGGATGCATTGGAATCAAGCAAAATCAACTTTATAGTAATGTCATGCTTAGGACTTGGCGAGTTGTTCTTCAGACTCGACGAGTCGAGTCGCGAGTCCCCATTTTTCCCCGATTTGAGAGTTTAGGGTGAATCAGTGAGTGGGGGAGGGACTCGATGAGTTGGAGTCAGATCTAGTGATGGAGGGACTCGGCGATTCTACGCCCTGACTCGGCGAGTCCGGTTAACTGAAAGTTAACTTTGACCAAAGAGTTAACTTTGACCAGGGGTAAAATAGTCATTTTACCCTAAGGGCATTTATCATCTAGTGTTTTTGGGATTTGTAGTTGGACAGTTCCGGAGCAGCAGTCAGCCAGTTTTAGAGTTAGCATCTCAGCAACCAGCGTTACGAGGTGAGTTTTCCTTCCAGTAGGAACGGGTCTACGGCCACAATGCCGACCCGTTTAATTAGCAGTAGTTCCGGACTTCGGTCCGATACAGTAGTTCAGTGTGCTTGATGTCTTTGTGTTATGTGTTCCGGACTTCGGTCCGATGCAGTATGCAGTATATGTGTTTATGCTAGTAGTTATGATTATGCTATGTTACGTTCAGTCAGTTCCGGACTTCGGTCCGATGCAGCTAGTTCTGGACTTTAGTCCGATGTAGGGGACAAGGTCCTAGTTAGTTCCGGACTTCGGTCCGATGCAGAGGGCAAGGCCCTGGTTAGTTTCGGACTTTGATCTGATGTAGTGGGCATGGCCCA